CAGGCGGGCCTGCGTGGGGACCAGCGGAATGTACCGCAAGGGCCCCCGCCCCCCAGGAACAGTGAGCGCCGCTGGCCTTCCGCTCCTAACTTTTCACGCCGCCAGAGGAGCTCCTGGGCACGGTCCCCAAAAGCCCGCGGAGACCAGTGTGTGGGCGACACCAGGGAGGGCGCCTGGAGGCCGGCGGCCCGGGCAGGACACCCAGCACAGCCCAGCAACCTCAGGCCAGGCTGCTGCTGCAGGCGCCGGCTCCCCCCCCACTTCCGTGCTGCTCCCCGGCAGCAGGCTCTCGGGCTGGGGGGCGGGGGGCGGCCCCCATTGTCCTTCCACCCACAAGTGGGATGCACTCTGGGAGGCTGTATCCCCCACCCACCTGTTCAAAAGAAGGGGCGTCCTGATTTTACTCAAGGCACCAAACACTGTTTTGTTAAATCTGAGAAATGGCCACCGTGCAGGAGCAAGACCCTGCCTCTGGCTTCCCCTCAAGCACATTGCAGCCCTGAGGGGTGCCCGCCCCGCCGACACTGTGGCCGCTCCTGGAAAGGGAGGTGTTTGGGGGCCGCTTCCTTGGGGACTGACAGCCCTCTCTCTTGTTCACAGAAAAGCAAGCTCAAGCTCCCACCTCGCCCCGCGGAGCAGGAGGACTCGGCCAAGTTCCTGGTGCTCACGCTGCTGTCCATTGCTGCCATCCTGGGCGTCCTGCTGGCCTCGGGGGTCATCTATTGCCTGCGCCACGACTCTCACCACAGGCTCAGGGAGAAGCTCTGGGGCCTGGCGGGCGACCCGGGCCCCGACGCCACTGCAGCCTACCAGGTAAAGGGCCTCCTGCCCAGCGCTGCCCCCTCCGTGAACACAGATCACACATAAGGCCTCACTCCCCCCCACCCCACCCCCAGCAGTTCTCGTTCCTAGGCTCCTTTCTGAGGACAGTTGGACACTCCCCAGCGTTCTGGTAAATACCTCGGAACCTCGGCTGCCCTGCTCTGTAATAGATAGTCTCGCATTAGCCAGGAAAGCGGGTTGCTCGTTAGAAACGCGGGAGATGTGGCTCATCTGGTCCCGTTCTCCATTCGGCCACTGTTAATGAGAAATGTCCGATTGCAAGAGAGATCGGTTTTGTGGGTGTTTGAAGATGTCCCTACATCACGGACTTCCTGGGTGTTTGTATGAAAAGATCCTCGACCTGTTCCGTCGGCCTGTTCCGTTATCCTGCTCTGATTTGGATAAAGTGGAATCTAATGCTGAAAATGGCAAGTAAACGACGCTGTCTCCATGGGGACCGTCTGCAGCTGTGTGCTGGGGATGCGAACACATAGGGACGCCAGGGAGGATGCCAGGAAGGCAGGTGCAGACCAAACTGGACCTGCACACGTTCACAGACATTCCAGAAACCGTGTCGTGTCCACATCCACACTCAGCCACGTCCTGGAGGAGCTGAGCCTCCCGGCTGAGCAAGCCCCGAATATAGACAAGTTAGGGCACCTGATTTCTTTTCACATAAAATACCATTTCACTCCATGAATACTCCCCACTCGGAAAAGTAATTTACTTAATCATCATTGAGAAAGTCTAATCAGGATACACTTGGCAAAGATTTTCTCCCGTTGGACTAGCCTGTGTTTTCTCTAATCACATGACTATGACGTGTAATGTGCCTTATAAGTAACACGACCTACTTAGAACCCTGTGTGTTAGTTATTATTCTCCTATCACCAGAGTTGCATGGGAAAACGCTCCCAACCCCTGTCCTTCAAGGCCCTCTGAGCCCCTCTGAGTGCCTGGGCCCTCCCAGTACAGTGGCTGAAGTCATGAAATCTCTAGGCTGACGGGGCCAGGAGGGGGCTTTTTCCATTTCAAGACTCTTGGTACTATCTTTGAGTGGAGAGCCCTCTGTGTTTCTGGAGGGGTCGCAAGCCTGGTCACCTCTGTCTTACAAAGAAATGGTGACTCGGATGTGTGGGTGGGCGCCTCCGTTGCCCATGCAGCTCTGCTTGAAAGCAAAAGAAAAGTCACGTTTGAAGGAGCCTGGCAAAAGAGGCCACATCAGCTCCTGAGCATTTACCCAGAGAGCGCGTGGAGGCACAGCATCCCTGGAGGACGCGGCTCCTGGGGCCTCCTGTGCTCGGACATAAATAAATGATCACAAGGCGCTCTTCCGCGGGAGAGAGCCTGGCGTCCTTTGATACACTTTGAAATTCAAATATAAAACATTGATAGAATGGAAAGCTTGGACTCGCATGCAGAAAAAGCTAATTTTGACCAAAATGCAGGTTGAAAATGCATACTTAGAACTGAGTTTGTGATAATTAAAAAAAATTGTCCCAGTGACAGCCCTAATTAATAGTATCTGTGATTAAAATCAGGCCCTTCCAGCAGGAAAAGTGTTTGAATTTCTCGGAGTGACCTTTCCGCTCTTCTCAGAGGCAGGGTGGTTAAGTTGATATTGATTCTATAATGAGCTTGGTTTGTTTAATAAGAGCAGACAATAAATGAAATGTGTGCATTTCTTCAATCCAGAATAATAAAAAGAAAACAATTTTTTCCTTTAGAAATACGATCTAGGAAAATTTAGAGATGAAGTTATTGTGAAGACGTTTCTGGTGGCTGAGGGTTGAAATCGCTACAAAATCCCTTCCAGGGAAGCGCCGTGATAGAACGTGGAGGTTCGCCCAGCGACGTGGTCTGTTTACTGGAGAAAAGGCCAGGGTGGAGCTGTGATGCTGTTTGGTTGTCTGGCATAGCAGTATCTGCAAATGAGGCTACGGATTTCATGATTTCAGCTCTAGACTTAGCCGAGTCATGTATTAAGGACTCATATAGTGTACAGTCAACCCCAAACAACACAGGAGTTGGGGCACCCATGCTGTAAAAAAATCCACATGTAACTTTTGACTCACTAAAATCTCAGTCTTCCCTCAGTACCCACGGGGGATTGGTTCCAGCCCCCAACCCCAACACCAATATCCACAAATGCTCAAGTCCTTTATATAAAACTAGAGGCCCAGTGCACAAAATTTGTGCACTGCCGGGGGGGGTGGGCGGTGGGAGTCCCTAAGCCTGACCTGCAGTCCGGGAGCCCTCAAGGGATATCCAACTGACAGCTTAGGCCCGCTCCCCAGAGCCGACAGTCGGACATCTTTAGCGCTGCCACGGAGGCGGGAGAGACTCCCACCACTGCTGCTGTGCTCGCCAGCCATGAGCCTGGCTTCTGGCTGAGCGGCGCTCCCCCTGTGGGAGTGCACTGACCACCAGGGGGCAGCTCCTGTGTTGAGCATCTGCCCTCTGGTGGTCAATGCACATCATAGCGACTGGTCGTTCAACCGTTCGGTCAATTTGCATATTAGCCTTTTATTATATACTAGAGGCCCATTGCAGGAGGATTCCTGCAAGAATAGGGCTTCACTCCCGTCTCTTCGGCTCCTACCCCCCCTGTCTCTGCCACTTCCCTCCCGCCCATCTCCGCTATCTCGGCTCCGTTGCTTGGCTTCCTTCTACGGTGTCTTCAGTCTTCGCTCCATCTTTGTTGGCAGTTAATTTGCATATCGTGCTGATTAGCCAATGGGAGGCGTAGCGAAGGTATGGTCAATTACCATGTTTGTCTATTATTAGATAGGACTAGAAGCCCAATGCACAAAATTCATGCAATAGTAGGCCTTCCTTCCCCCGGCTGCTGGCACTGGCTTCCCTCTGGCACCCGGGAGGCAGGCTTCCCTCACAGCCCCAGCTTCGTCCGGAAGGACATCTGGTCTAATTAGCATATTATGCTTTTATTATATAGATGATGGCCTAAAACAATGCATACAGTCAGCCCTCCAAATCCACAGATTCACAAACTTGTATCAAAAATACTATTTTGGCCCTGGCCGGGCAGCTCAGTTGGTTAGAGCGTCGTCCCGATACGCCAAGGTTGCGGGTCCAATCCCCGCTCAGGACACATCCAAGATTCCACCAATGAATGCATAAATAAGTGGAACAACAAATTGATGTCTCTCTCTCTCTCTCTCTCTCTCTCTAAAGGCAATCAATAAAATTGTTTTTAAATGCTGTTTCCTGTCCTGGCCAGGTGGCTCAGTCGGTTGAAGTGTCATCCTGTACACCAAAATGTTGCAGGTTTGCTTCCCAGTCAGGACACATGCCTAAGTTTCAGGTTTGATCTTTGGTTGCAGTGGGTACAGTATGCAACTGATCAAAGTCTCTCTCTCTAAAATCAAAAACATATCCTTAGGTGAGGAGTTTTTAAAATGCTGTTTTCTATCCACGTGTAAGTGGACCCGAGCAGTTCAGATCGAGTCTTTCCAGGGTTGGCGGTAGAGCCCATGCATGGAGGGTTCGCATGTGCCTGGAGCAGGTATTCATCAGGAATCCACGTCTCATGGGGTTTCTGCAGCTGCATTGAGACCCCTTCAAGTTTCAAGATGTGTCTGGGAAGTTTTAAAAAAATATATTGCAAACCTAAAACAACTATTTCAGGAAAAAATATCTTATTGCCTCAATGCTTTAATTTTATTTATTTTTGTAATAGTCACTGGATGTGGATTCTTATTTTCCTTGCAAGATCAAAAGGTTCTTTAAAATCCTTCAGCCACCAATGAAATGATCAGACAGGAGAAAAACTTGACACAGGAATCTTGTCATCAAAAATAAATACAGTTGCGTGAGGTGCTCAAGATCTGACCAAACGAAAAATGGGAAGGCAGGTTACCAACCCTCCCACCATGGGCCGTCCATGGGCTGAGGGAGGGCGGGCAGGAGGCCTGGCCATGCCTTCTCAGTGCGGGAAGCCCGGTGGTCGGGTCAGATCTGCTTCTGGTGACATGCAGCACCCCGCGATGACAGGAGCGGAGTTGAGGGCAGGGCGGGACCTATGCTGCAGCTCCTTCATCCTGTTGAGGGCCCTGCCCACACAGAACCACTCGATCTGGCTCTTGTTGAAGGCGTGGTTCAGGAGGGGGTCTCCTGGGAGCCGTTGGGGTGCTGGATGATGCACGTCAGGGGCTTGCCAGGGGCAAAGTCCTTCAGGCCCTGGATGGTCAGCTTGTCCACGGGGTGAATCTTGTTGTAGTCGGCTGGGTCAGCGAAGGTGAGGGGCAGCAGGCCCCGCTTCTTCAGGTTGGTTTTGTGGATCTTGGCGAAGCTCTTGGTGATGATGGCCCGACCCCCAAGGAGGCGGGGCTCCGGGCTTGAGCCCTCGCCATAGTTCTCGTCTCCAATCACCACACCAGATGCCATGTTTCTTATAGTAGCAGGCAGTGTCAGGGACAGGACCAAATTCCTGGGTGACAGCATTGCACACAGAGTTGGCCTTGCCATTTTCAATGAGCAAGTTGTTGGAGATGTTGTCCAGGTGCCCACAGAACCTGAGCCAGGGGCCGGCAGCTGCGATGTGGTCAGTGGTACACTTCCCTTTGACCTTGGTAAGGGTTTGAAGGTCCTCCAGGTCTTTGCCATCCCATTTGTCAAAAGACTCAAGGAGCTGCAGACGCTGGCTGGTGGGGCTCACGTCCACCCGCTGCCCACTGCCACCCTTGGGAGGGTGCTGGTACGTGTTCTGCCCAGGATTGAAATTCGTGTGGGGAAGCTCATCTGTATTCAGAGCCTCCAGCTTGAACTCCTTGCCATCCTTGCCTGTCGGGAAGTCAGTCTTGGGATTGAACTTGAGGGTGCCAGCAATGCCCAGGGCTGTGACAATCTCTGGGGATGTGACGAAGGCATGGGTCTCAGGGTTCGCGTCATTGCGACCTGTGAAGTTCCTGTTGTAGGGGGTGACAAATGTGTTCTTCTCCCCCTTCTTGATGTCCTTTCTGTCCCACTGG